AATGCGGTCTTCACATCAAGTTGCTCAACTTCAAGGTTCATACTTGCGGCCATGCCAAGTACAATCCAAATAGAAGACATCTTCACAACTAACTAGAAAATCTCATCAAAGTCAATAGATTTCTTTTGTCCAAAGCCTTTCACAACATGACGTGCCTTGTACCTCAGATTCTTGCCATCATTCTTCAATTTGAAGACCCACTTATTTTTCAGAATTTTTCTCCCCTTAGGCAACTTCACTAAATCATAAGTGTGATTTTCAACTAAGGAATTCATCTCCTCTTCCATGGCCTTTTTCCAATCACCTTTCTTTGCATGCTCAAGTGCTTCTTGGTAGTTCTCCGGCTCCCCTTGATCAGAAATCAACACAAATTCATTGGGAGGATACTTTCTTGAAGGTTGTCGGTCCCTTGTAGATTTTCTTAACTCAAGTTGTGGTGGCGGTTCTTGAGTTGGATGATCTTCCTCAATTTCTGGTTCAACTTCATTAGGATTAGCATCATCCTCTACATCTTCAATAGGTGGCTGCACATCTCCCCCATTTTCATCATCAACTGAAGATGAAGGAGATGGATCCATGTCAATGAGATCACTAGTTTTTGGCTTCGGTTGATCACCTTTGCCCAAGTCTTTAATTGTTTGGTCTTCAAGAAACACAATATCACGGCTTCGAATGACTTTCTTGTCGACCGGATCCCACAATCTATAACCAAACTCATCACGCCCATAGCCAAGAAAATGCATTGTCTTGACTTACTATCAAGCTTGGACCTCTTATCCTTTGGAATGTGAACAAAAGCTCGGCAACCAAACGCTCTCAAGTGCTCATAAGATACATCTTTACCGGTCCAAACTCTTTCTGGAACATCACCATTCAAAGGATAGGAAGGAGACAAATTGATCACGTCAACCGTTGTCTTCAATGGTGCGGTTCATCCTCTCGGCAATTTAGCTTGTGAAAGCAAACACCTTGTTCTTTCCACAATGGTGCGGTTCATTCTCTCGGCAGCCCCATTTTGTTGAGGAGTCTTCTTAACTGTCTTTTGGTGCCGAATACCTTGGCTGCGACAATACTCATCAAATGGCCCAATGTATTCACCACCATTGTCTGATCGGATGCACTTCAATTTCTGCCCTGTTTCTCTTTCAACCATGGCCTGAAAATGCTTAAATACTTCTAGAACTTGATCTTTAGTTTTTAGTAGAAAAGCCGAAACTTTCCTTGAATAATCATCAATGAAAGTAACAAAATAAAGTGCACCACTATGTGTTCTAACTTTTAAAGGACCACAAACATCCGAATGAATCAACTCCAAAACATTTTCTTTTCTAGAAGCAACATTTTTATGAAAAGAAACTCTATGTTGTTTATTCGCCAAACAATGAACACAAGTTTTAAGATGTGTACCTTTCAAACCGGGTAGAAGCTCTTTCTTGAACAAAACTTGCAGCCCCTTTTCACTCATGTGGCCAAGCCACTTGTGCCACAATTCGGTAGAAGTATCATCTTGAAGTGCATTAACAACGCCTTTACAAATTTTTCCTTGCATCGAATAAAGTGTATGAGTCTTCTTACACTTAGCCACCACTAAGGAACCTTTTGTGAGCTTCCATATTCCATCACCAAATTTGTTGTTGTAGCCTTCATCATCTAGATTCCCGGTAGAGATCAAATTGAGGCGAATGTCGGGAACATGCCTCACATCTTTAAGCAACAACTTGCAGCCCAAATTTGTTTCCAAGCAAACATCACCCATACCTATAATCTTGGACAAACCTTCATTACCCATTCGAACAGAACCATAATCTCCTGTAGTGTAGGTAGTGAAGAAATCAACTCGAGAAGTCACATGAAAAGAAGCACCAGAATCAATCACCCAATTGCTCTCTTGGCCCACAAAATTGATACAATCATCTTCACAAACGACCATGAGATCAGCATTGGTAGTAACTGCCGTTGTGTCTTCTTGCTTCTTGTCCACACTTTTGTCACGCCTTTTCTCCTTATTCTTGAGCTTTCGGCATTCCCGCTTCATGTGCCCTTTCTCATGGCAATAATAGCACTCAATGTCTTTCTTTGAAAATGAACCATCTTTTGATTTGTCACGGCTTTGATCACGACCATGAGGAGTCTTACTCCTCCCCCTTGTTTTGCTTCAACCTCTCACAACAAATGCTTCCGAATGAGATGAACCCGCTGATTTTCTTCTAGTTTCTTCATTCAACAAGCTACTACGGACTTGGCCCATTGTGACAACTCCATCAGGTGCCGAATTACTAACTGTTACAACCAAAGTCTCCCAACTTTCGGACAAAGAACTAAGAAGCATCAAAGCCTGCAACTCATCATCAAAAACAATTTTCATAGAAGCAAGTTGGTTAACAATACTCTTTATTTCATTCAGATGTTCCGGAATAGGGCTGCCCTCTTTATATTTTAAATTAACCAACTTACGAAATAGAAAAGGTTTATTTGTGGCCGATTTCCTATCATAAAGACCCTATAATTTTTTTCCATAAATCATGTGCTGAAGTTTCAGTAGCAATATGATAAAACACACTGTCATCAATCCATTGACGGATAACACCAACGGTTTTTCGATTAAGCCTATTCCATTCATCATCTTTCATACTCTCAGGTTTGCCACTATCACCCTCAATGGGTCCATACAAATCTTTACAAAATAATAGGTCCTCCATTTTAGTTTTCCAAGTTACCCAATTGCTTCCATTGAAGGTAGACATACGACCCACATTCCCCTCCATTGATTTACACAAATAAATAAACCCAAATAAACCGTAAGCTCTGACACCAGTTGTTAGGGAAAATCGATGATTCCCCACAAGTAAATCAATCAAGAGAATAAAAACTAATGCAGAAAAATTAAATAAAAAACAACACAAGAATTTTTACGTGGTTCCCTCAATGTGAGGTACGTCCACGGGATCGAAATCTGATTCTACTATCAATCAAATAAGTTCCAAACGATTACAAACGAGACACGAATGGTCTCACAAAACCACCCTTAGGTGAATTCCAAATAATTACAAATAAACAAAGAGGAAAGACCTCACCAAATAGATGAACCAAAATCTTCAGAACCAGAGTTGTAGAAAACCCAAAATAACGAACCAAAACTATGCTCCAAAGCAGCACCAAACCGAATAAAAATAACTCCACCGAATTATTTTTGATCCAAACGGCACTCACACAGCAAGAACAAAAACCACCAATTTTAATTATGTACCAAGCATTATCTCACCAACAATTAATGATCACCAATGGTTGCTCACCTTTGAAAAACTAAAAAAATCCATAAGGCAGCCGTTCACCATTTTTCTTAGGCAAAACCAATACCAATAATATATTGAATTTAATTAGCTTGTTTGCTAGAGCTCTTACACTTTAGTAACTTCCTCACTTGCATTATAATTGTCGATTACTAGGAAGTCAAGAGTTAACGAAATCTTTTTCTCACTTCGAGAATTTATACGTAATTATTGTGATTTATACTATAGTGAATTCATATTATAATTGTTAATTATTAGGAAGTTAAGAGTATGCAGTCTTTATTAGTCTTAACCTTTTAATATTTATTTGAGTCTTTCTTTCAGTTTAAGAATTAATATATAATTGTTGCAATTTATATTGCATTTGATCATCATTATAATTGGTGATTAAATTGTAATCGAAAAATATAAAAAGAATTGGTGGAACCAATAAAGAAAACCAAACAATGCATTAAATAAAGAAAAGATGAGATAAGAAGCAAGCATCCAAATATTCTATTCTTACTTGGAGGATGACCAAATTCTTGTTCTGATAATGCCTGATGAAGAAGCAAAAAGGGTTAGATACCGTAATGAATTCCCACTTAGTAATTGACCATATTGCCCTTGTACCTTGCCTGCCTTGGGACACTCAATTATGAATTTATCCCTCAATTCTACTGGACTCCAAATGAGAGCAGTTGAACTTAGTAGTAGATTGTTTAAATTTATTTATTTTTTTAACCGAGTTTAAACTTTATTTGATAACAAGTTTTATAATGTGTTTAAATTTTACTTATTTATGTAATGAGTCAATTTTCAATGAACTACTTTTAACAAGTTGGACACAAGTCAAATTCAAGTTGTTTGATTTTTTTTTTTTAAGTACATATAATCATATCAAGTCGAGTAATAAGTTTTTATTTATTTATTATTTTTTTGCTCAATAAAAAAAGATTATAGGATAGTACAAAAGATGATACATCAATAATGAAAACATCACTGCGGAACAATCAATCCCACCTACGAACTTAATGAGTCTTAAGTTGCTCAAACTTGATTTGAAAACTTAAAAAGTCTTACAATGTGGTTAAATTAGACTTATTTATCCAACAAACAAATCTCAAACGAACTTGTAACAAACTGAGCTTGAGTATTTTGATTTATTTTACAACTTTCAAAACTTTTTAAGCCATCCAAAACTAGTTGTTTTGGCACTGTATTTTGATCATTGTACAGAATGATTTTGAGATAATGAATTTCAGAGAAGTTTCATATGTGATCATTTTCTTTTTAGGATCATCAGTTGAGGCATGGCATAAAATTGCAAAACATTACAATTACTATATTGTCCTTTAGTGTTATGTGCTTTACTTAAAACCCACTATGGATTAAGAATATTACAAAATGCCTTAATCCTTTATAATCTCCAATACTGATGGCAAAAAATGCATCAATGCTGTGAGAATGGATCAGTGCTATGGTGACGAAATTTGAGTAATAAGTTGTAAGTACAGGATATTAAAAGTTGACTTATTAAACTAATACATTAGTGAGGGTTGGTTTGGAATAAACTAAAAAAGTTAACTTATTGATTTATTGACTTATTTAGATCATATCATATGTTTACTTGCTTGCATGTATTTTCGTAATAGATAAAAAAGTCAAAAAATAAATCATACCCAAAACAAGCGTGATACACAAGATGGTATTCAAAATTTGATATTCTAATTTGACCACTACATATTACACAAAAAAAACATCAATGGATGGTTGGTTTGTGAAGTGATTTTTTTTGTGATTTTTTGAATAAAATACGAAGTTAAAAAGTTTGAAGTATTAGGTAAAGGCTTCTTGGTTTCTATATTAAAAAAAAAAACTTGCAAAATGTAGAAAAAATGAGAAGAATTTTTGACTTTTGTACACGACTTTTTGAATTTTGAATTTTTTTAATGACTTTTTGACTAAATTAGTCAATTGTCAAACGCACATTGAGTTGTTGTGTGGCATATACTTTGGTGCAAGGTTGTAAGAGCAAATGTTTTTGTGTAGAAACATGTAATTTGGAGGAAGCAAATTTTTTTTTCTTCTTGGGGAATATACTTACCAACAATTTGAATTTATGGATTAAATTAAAATTTTGTGAGGTGTAAAGTAAACCATACTGAAAATAAATATAATTTACATATTTCGAACTCTAAACACTTTTCTAGAGTATTTTTATTTTATTATTATTTTTTTTTAGTACGTAGTCTTGTTGTCTCAAACAAATAGAAAATGAATCTTAGACAAATGAAAATGAGAAAACTAATTACAAATCAATATAATGCAAGTGAGACGTATCTTAAGACCCAATTCTCACTTATACTCTATTAATTTACAGTTAATTTACATATTTTTAATTAATTACATATGACCTTTTCTTATTTTCTTTTTCCTTTCACAACGTCGCTACGATTATTGAATTTTTCTCTCACATAACGATTTCGGTGTTTGTATATTTTTCCATTTAATAAAGGATTTTACATGACTAAAATACATAAAATCCAAGAAGGCTATTTAAGTAAAATTCCTCAATAGCCAAGAAGTATAGTTTGGTCATTTTCACATTTTGAAAATAAAGTTCACCAATACCCTAATCCGGGGAAAGCATACTCTCAGCAGTAAAGGTGACAGACATTTAGAATTCTTCAAGCTTCAATTCAAAGTACTATAAAACAAAGAAAAAGCAACTTCACCCATTTAAAAAGAACACAAACCCACCTATTAACTGAAGAAGACAACAAAGGAACAAGAAGAAAAAAAAAAGAAAAAAAAAGAAAAAGAAACACAGAGAGAGAGAGAGAGAGTGGTACTAAAAATGTATAGGTTCAGCAACACAGTGATAGGTTTTTTGAACCTATTCACCCTCCTATCCTCAATACCGATCATCGGAGGCGGGCTTTGGATGGCTAGGAGTAGCACAACATGCGAAAGCTTCCTCCAAACCCCGTTTCTAGTGATCGGATTCGTGATCCTGATCATCTCTCTAGCGGGGTTTATCGGAGCTTGCTTCAATGTTGCTTGGGCTCTTTGGGTGTACTTGGTGGTGATGTTGTTCTTGATAGGGGCCCTAATGGCTTTGACTATTTTCGGGTTTGTTGTGACGAGCCAAGGCGGTGGCGTCGAGGTTCCCGGTAGGGTTTATAAGGAGTATTTGCTGAATAGCTACTCTCCATGGCTGAGGAAGAGATTGCATGATCCTCATTATTGGGAGACTATTAGGAGTTGTATTTTGGGGTCTAAGACTTGTGATAAGATTGCTTATTGGACACCTATTGATTATTTGCAAAAAGACATGTCTCCTATACAGGTGTGTGATCTTATTATCATTTATTATTATTAGTTCTTCTTCGAGCACATAATCCCAATTGGACAATAAAATCACATACAATTTTTTTTGCATGGATAGAATTCATATATAGAAGGTTATGTCTGATTCTGTAATCAGATTCTGTGTTTAGAAATTTTTATTTATTACTATTTATTTTATAATTTAGGTCTTGTATTTCTGTTTTTATCTTTGTGTGAAAATAGCTTTTTAAAAAAAAATTTAAATGTGATTTTTTTTTCTTTAAAAATGATTTTTTTAAAAATAGTTTGCTAAACAAATATTCTTCAATATTGATTTATGAAAAAATTTCAGGTCTGCTTTTGTTGTTGATGTTCATGACTTTATGCTCTCTCTCAATAAATGTATTGACTTTTCATCATTTCCTCTCAGTTTTTGTTGAGTTATAATTTTTTTTTTTAAAAGGCTAAATTAATTGGGGAAGTTTTACAAGAAAATGAAATAATTAATTATATATCAATAAAGTACAAGTGAGATAATTCCCACTTACATTTTCATTGATTTGCAATTAATTTCTTAATTTTTTCTGGGTCTTACTAGTGATCTGGCATTGAGAGTTTGTTAAAATCAAGCAATGCAACAAAAAACAAACAATAATAATAAAAGTTTCATATATTCTTATACTTTTTAATTTTTTTTTTCCACATATACCAACATTAACCTTGTCATTGAACGGTAGTTAGCACTTCTTGTTATTAATTTATCTAATATTTTCCCAAATTAATTTAGAGGAAGAGAGGCATTTAGGCCCTATTTGATTGTATGAATTAGATATAAATAGAGAGGATAATATAGCAATATAGAATAAGATATAATATATTTAGAATATGCGATGAATTATATTATATTATAAAATCATTTTTATTATGTTTGGTTAACGTACCATATAACATGAAATAAGAAAAGAGTGATTATTTTTTATCATTAAAAGAAGAATGACCCATATTGTGTGTTAGAAAATATGATCTATATTTTTTTATAACTCGGTATCTGAATCATTAGATTAACTAATCCAAAAAATCAATCTCATCATCTACTTGTTGGGGTCCGGGATATGCTCTATGTTATTATGGGGTGGAGAGGATTTCATGTCTGATCACAGGAGAAAAGATATTAAAAAAATATGAGACCCACATATTTTTCTTTTGTCTTCTATATTCCGTTAAAAGAATATATTCCGTCTATATACCCCAATCAAACAAACTTTACACCAAGTTCATAATAGAATAGACCTTTAAAACAATAAGAAATACAGTAGGAATTTTGGCTATTGACAAAAGACTTGGAGAGGCTATCTAAACGAATTTAACTTAGAAAATTGATTCAACAAAATACAAAATGTTTTTTCTCAAGTAAAATGCCTAATAGAGTTTGGCGTTGCTTTTTGTTCCCTTCTCTCTTATTTTTTTTCCTGTTGCTCATCAGTCGGGTTGCTGTAAGCCACCGACATCATGCAACTATGTGTTGGCGACGACGGTGGCACAGGACCCCGACTGTTACAGGTGGAACAACGCCCCAAACATGCTCTGCTACGAGTGCGATTCCTGCAAAGCTGGAGTCCTCGAATCTGTCAGAAGAGATTGGCACAAGCTCTCTGTCCTCAACATTGTCGTCCTCCTCTTCCTCATCTCCATCTACGCCATCGGCTGCTGTGCTTTCCGCAACACCAAACGCTCCGAGACTGATTACCCCTACGGTGAAAACCGTATGTCCAAGGTCAAACCCAGATGGGACTTCCACTGGTAAGTAGTCTCAACTCAACATATACAACACAACCATGCCTATCTAATTTGTGTTTTGGATCTCATGAAGAATTTTGTGTAACGGGTATATCATGATACTGTGTTCCTCTCTCATATTTTTTTTTATTTACCCCTTTCTCTTGTACATATTAGTAAATTATAATTATATCATAAAGGTATATATCACTTACGTGTGTACACGATACACAAAATGTGAAGTTGTGGTTGAGCGTAGGAGGTACTTAACAATTTTTATGAATGGATGATGGTTTCATAGTTGAGGATTAAATTAAGACATTGAGATTTGAGAGGCTGCATTGAAAATTAATAACATAATTGAAAACCAACAATTTAATTTACCCTTTAATTTAATTTTCAAATGAGATTACTTTCCAAACCATGATTAAAAAGTATATATTTCTTTTAATCTTTCTCCCCTCTGTCCATGTCCATGTGTATATAGTAATACTGCTAAGAGATTACCTTTCATTTATTAATTTTGTTTATTTTTTTATATTGACAGGTGGAGATGGTGGAATGACAGAAAACACTGGCTTTATTAGGCAAAGCATTGCATTCTCTTTTCTTTTCTTTTCTTTTTTTTGGTTTTCTTATTCCCTCCAATTCCAAGTTTGTCTTCTTGGTTTCTCAAAAAGATGGGACAATTCTGTTGTTTTTCAGTGAATGTATGGTCATGGTGATGAAGGTTTCAAGGCATTTCTTTCTTTCTTTCCTTTTCTACATAATAACTGCTTTTTTGTACAGAAAAAAAGATTTGACTTTATTTCAGAGATCAACCATTGCGTCTGGCTTTTACTTTACTGACTTTTAAACAGTGGTGGAGATTTTAATGCATAAAGGATGTTGGATTTGAATTCTAGCAGTAACCGTTATGGCTCTATTTCAGGCTTATTATGCATTTATTTTTATGATTTAAATCGGTCATTTTATAGAATCCGCCAAGTATTGTATATACATTAAAATTTATATTGATCGGATATTAATAATTACGTGATCGGATTGCATATTATTTATATTATTTTAAAAGAAAAATAGATTGTTTATTTTTTAAAAATAAATGTAATTTGATCACATAGTTACTAATATCCAATTAATGTGATTTTGACATGCTTCAAGTACTCAATAAGCCTTATAAAATAATGGTTTGAATTATAAAAATAAATCCGTAATAAATCTCAAATTAAAACATTATAATTACTATTATATCCTTGACACATCAACAACCTCTCCTCCATTCAACTCGGTTATATTAAAGTACATTTGAAGTATGGCATCCCAACTTGGTTATATTAAAGTACATTTGAAGTATGGGATCCCATGCTCTAGCTACAATCACTACAAGAAATTATACTTTTGGCGATTAAAGTTTTAAACACCAAAAGTCATATTTTTAGTCGCTAAAAGTTTTCTTAACTAAATAATTTAGTCGCCAACTTGGTCGCGGAAAGACAGTCGGCGAAGGTATTGGAGACTAAAAAAATTTTACTCGCCGAAAGGTCTAAATTGGCGACTTAACAAGTAGTCGCCAAAATTAAAGGTATTGGCAACAAAAAAAAACTTTAGTCGCTGAAAGACTAAATTGGCGACTAATTTTTTTGTCGCCAAAAGCTTACAATTAAATTCAACATCACATTTTCAGCTACTAAAATTTTTGTCAACAAAATTTTTTTTTTTGGCTACTAAATCATTAGTCGCCTAAAGTCTTTTTTTTTTTTTAATTGGCTACTAAAAGTTTAGTCACCAAAATGTTTGTTTCCATTTAACTCTTTTTTTAGCTACTAACTATTTAGTTGCTAAAAATATTTAACTTCATTTTTGGCTACCAATTGTTTAGTCGCCAAAAATATCATTTTATATATTTTTTTTATTTTAATTAATTTGTCCACAACCTGTATGTATCACACGCAACCTGTAACAGGTATACAAACAAAACAATACATACATATTATCACTCATTCCACAACACATATTTCACTTACAACCATCCAAAAAAGAGAATAACTTTTAATGTCAAATTTTATACAAACCAAGTATATTCCAACTGAAAATAATAATTTCATACAGAATTGTTGGTTTATTTTTCCTACGAAAGAAAATATCATAAATGCGAGCGTGCCAGCAAGGATTGAAAAATCCTTACAGATTAAATTCAAGCCAATTATCAAGCGATTGCGTTGACGGTTCTTTTGCCTCAACGAAGAGGACTTCAAAATTGTCAAGTGTAGAAAAAAGAAAAAGTAAAAGAAGAAAGAGGGACGGAGAAAGACGATTGAGTGAACAATTAAAGTAATAATTACTTACCTCTACTCCTATGCTTCGAAAAGGAAGTGCATAAAATGCTTCGAAATGGAAATACTGAAAATAAATGCTTCGAAATATAAATCTATGTTAAACTACTCCTAAGATAAGGAAAATGACAAGAAATATTGAAATCAATTGTCTTTGATTATGAATTCTGGATCCTTTACAATGTAGCCATGAATGGCTATTTATAGACAAATATTTGTAGAAAAAAACTTCCAGCAATAACTACTCAATAACCACATAAAACTACCCACTCTTCCATCTTCATTTCTATAATGCCACATAAACCTCCATGCCTTCATAACTTCTCATAACCTCCAAATGAGTAGGAGGATGCCACATGTCCTGCAATTATATAAATAATAAATAATAATAAAAATTGTAGATTTATGGTGCTAACATTACCTCCCGCGGCCCTTAAAAATGATATTTATTTAAATTTTTGAAGGGTCAAACCAAGCACATGTCTAATCTAAGCAATAAAGTGCTTCGAATAATATCAACAAAGTGCTTCGAATGAGCATGAAATTATGACTAGATGTTGCGAATTATATATATACGCATTGAAGGGATATTATTGCAGAAAAGTTTCGAAAGATAACTACATATTTTCAAGACAAAACCAATGATTCACCTTAGCAAACAATTACACATACTAAATAACCAGCTTCGAAGGTGGTATAGAGGACTAAAATTATCATTCGAAGGTCAAAAATGCCAACAAAGGACGAATTACATTCTTGGAAATACTCGGCAAAGCTTCGAAGGTTCACAACTATCACTATTTTTTCTTCGAAGCTGTTGTTGATGCAAGATGGAGTGCTTCGAAGCTTACAAAATTATGGCAAAAGGGCTTTCGAAGCAACTTTTGGCCAACATTGTGGTTATTCAAATTTTGTATGTTTTGGTTCACACTAATTAATGAAAATATTAATTTTATACTTTAAACCAATTATTAATTCTCCGAATACACCAAAACCGTTGTTCTTCGAACCAACTTTTATAGAATACTAGTTACATTTTCATGTAACAAATGGCTATAAAAATGGTTATCAGTAAAGTGACTAATTATCATGCCAAAAATAGGCATTATTCGATAATTAATTAATTGCCATTTTACATATATTTGAAGGGAGGTACACATTTCGAAAGCTTTCTTGTCCCATGTTACATTTCGAAGGTGTTTATTGATGACAAAACCACCATTCGAAAGTCACATATGTTACTAAAGGATTAAAGTCGTCATTCGAAAGTGCTCACGACATCTCTTCGAACTAAATCCAAAGAGTTGGATTATTATGAAATTAGTTTGGCATTTTAACTAGCCATTAATGGCTATAAAAATGATATTTCAATGAATAATCAACTTCGAAGTGTCTTGAGACATGCTTCGAAGGTAACCACAAAATCAAATGGTGATGGTTTTATGGATCAACTAATAACAACATTTTTGGCTCAATATATTGCAATAACGAAATATTATTTGTTAGTCATTCTATCAAAGTCAACGTTTGATGTGATCCACAAATCCAAAATAGATTTCGAACAACAAAAGTTATGGTATAGTGTGACTATGAAAATTCATACTTTTTGACATTTTGAAAAATGCCAAAAAATTTGAATTCATGAACAGTGGCTTGTTCATTATTTTTTACCATGTTTGTTTTAAAAACATGACTTTTGCCGAATAGATTTTCATAATTATTTGGAAAAGTGGGTTGTTTTTTCATGTTAGCCATTAATGGCTTATGAAAATCACCCATAGATATGTTATTTTCATGACTTGATTCTCTAAAAATTGGCTTTGAGACCCCCTGAGCAATGCATGGAACATCATTCTTAGCCAAATTTGGCTCAAGAACATGCTCTTTCGTTATGTTAATTTCATAATTTGGCTCTTCAAAAACGGACTCTTGAACCCCCCGAGCCATTGATAAAATCAACTCTTTGCTTTTGCTATTTTTAACCATGGAAAAATTCTGAAAAAATTCACCAATTCCGGCCATTAAGGCCTCAGTTAAAGACTTGGTAGCGAGAGTTGATAACTCATCATTCCATTGGCGAATTTCCATATCAAGTTGATGAATTTTTCCAATTAAACGGTGTCTTTTTTCTTCCACCAAATAATATTGTAAGGGATGAAAATTTATTTCATCAAGAAAATGGATCTCTTCTTGAAGATCCAAAATTTCTTGTTTACGCCAATAAATTTCATCTAGGCTATTTGAAATGGACAAATCCAATTCATTTTCCATTTATTACACTTGACGTCTCACCGGGCGTGCCAAAAATTGTTGGCTTATTTTTTCTACAAAGGAAAATATCATAAATGCGAGTATGCCAGCAAGGATTGAAAAATCCTTACAGATTAAATTCAAGCCAATTATCAAGCGATTGTGTTGACGGTTCTTTTGCCTCAACGAAGAGGACTTCAAAATTGTTAAGTGTAGAGCAAAGAAAAAGTAAAAGAAGAAAAAGGGATGGAGAAAGACAATTGAGTGAACAATCAAAGTAATAATTACTTACCTCTACTCCTATGCTTCGAAAAGGAAGTGCATAAAATGCTTTGAAATGGAAATACTGAAAATAAATGTTTCGAAATATAAATCTATGTTAAACTACTCCTAAGATAAGGAAAATGACAAGAAATATTGAAATCAATTGTCTTTGATTATGAATTCTGGATCCTTTACAATGTATCCATGAATGGCTATTTATAGACAAATATTTGTAGGAAAAAACTTCCAGCAATAACTACCCAATAACCACATAAAACTACCCACTCTTCCATCTTCATTCCTATAATGCCACATAAACCTCCATGCCTTCATAACTTCTCATAACCTCCAAATGAGTAGGAGGATGCCACATGTCCTGCAATTATATAAATAATAAATAAAAATAAAAATTGCAGATTTATGGTGCTAACAAGAATAAAAAGTAGTACAAAAACCATGTCCTCCGTAGACAAAAAAGGAATATCTACAATTCCTCGCCAAAAACATCTGTAAAAAAAAATAATTAATTGACTGAATAGCATTGACATATTTGAAATTATAAAAGAAAATTATATAATGCAAAATCTTTGCATTACCTTTATGGGTCTTCACAAGCAAATAGCACCCAAATGATAGAGATGTCAAAACCCTCTTGTACATCTCTGTCTATGAGTTCCTTCTTAACCTCTTTAGTCTTAGGCTGTTAAAAAAATTCACAAAAAGGTGAGATTCACATAAAATTACAATTTTCACCCACTTTATAATATGACATTCACTAAAATAATATTCCAAAAATTAATACCCACTTTCAAGTGAAAGTAACTAACTGAAATAAGAACTTGGTCTTCTACAGCTCAAATGAACCTATTGTTATGATTTTCCTCAAATGTTCCACACTAAGAATGACAAATTTAAGCTAAGGAATATGCATGACATTTTTTTTCACAATATATGTACACACATAAAAACTGGAGAGCATTTGTGTGCCTAAAAACAAGTAAACCTCAGCTTTTGCTAGTCTCTATGCAGCCAACACATATCCAAACTATGTTATCAAGTTTAATTTAGGGAGATCAAAAAAAAAAAAAAAGGCTATGCACTGGGTAACAGTTTCAGTTGCAATGCCTAATCTTAATTCTTCTGTGTGCCAAAATCCTTCTTACTATGGCAGAGCTCAAGCTGAAAGGCATAGAAAACCAACAGAAGGATGACCACTATGACCATTTTGGTTCAAGTTGAGTATCAAGCACTATGGGTTGCGTGGGAATGGCCAGCAGTTATAGGCATAGGAACTTCACCAGTTTCATGGATTAAGCAGTGCTCATGTCCAGTTTGTCTAGGACGGAAGACAATAGGTGTAATATCAAAGTGGTTTGTATGATATTAGTCCAATTAATGAGCTACAAATTAGTTTGCTACTAGATAACACAACACATTATCAGGTAATATATCCAAGAGAGAAGAACATATCAAATATAACACAATCAGAATTGAGAATACCTTATGAAATTCAACAAGGAGATTTTTGCTGGTAAGATATCTCTCAACTGAAAAAGCAGCAATGCATCCTGAACCAGCTGCAGTTACGGCTTGCCTCCATTCATGGTCCTATACAAAGATCAAGAAACCGAAATACAAAATAGTCTCAAATAATTACAAGTTCAATGACAAATACAAATATGTAAGAGCTTGATATATATGTTGAGTCCATGCCCTAATAGATTAAACTTTTGAGGCAACTGGTTGCTTAACATGTTACTAGAGCTTTAGTTCTAAACATCACAGGTTCAAATATCGTTGTATTTGTTTATACCTTATAATATGTTTGTCAGTGTGTCAGTTTAGCTTGTGTTAATTTGTATCTTCATGTTGGATAGAGGGTCACAAATAAAGGAAGGGTGTGAGAGCTTAAAACATGTGTTGGGCTTATTTCCTAATAGGTTAAGCTTTTAGAGCAACTAGTTACATTACAAAACCCAAAGAGTACCATGAAAATTCTTATCAAACTAGGATTTTATTCATCTCTTCAATCAAATATATGAATTAGGCAAGTGTCCCTATAGCAAGCAAAACTAACTTGTTCTACACCTGTACTGATGGAGTATCAGTACCAAAATACGTAAACGCATCCATTTTGAAGTGCATAAGAAGCAAAGTAAGTGACACATAATGAACCTAGAGAGTTTCATAAAACATAGAATAAAAGCAGATGGAGAGTTTCAGAAAACATACAATAGAAGCAAAAATTAATCAAGTTTTGAAATAGTTACCTGTACATCTCCAGCTGCAAATACACCTTCAACAGGAGTTTCTGCACTACCCTCATTCACCAATACATAACCTATGTTGTCAAGTTCAACTTGACCTTCCAACAATTGGCAAAAGGCCATCATTCAACTTTTCTCATTTTATTCTCAAACCAAGTACAAAATAATTATATAGAGCAGAAATGAGAAGGCATACCAGAGTAATAACCATTCAAAAAATAGTCTATTTTAGTGAAACATTTAATTCTAACCCTCAACTTGAGCCACATTACCAAAACAATTCAATACAAGGACACAAGCACTGTTCAGGTAAGTAGATTAGATTTTTGAGAAGCCTAAGAGACATTTTATCAAACAGTTTGAAGGTAAGGGAAAAAAAATAAAATTGAAAATCCATAACAATTTCCCAAACCAACAATTCATGGAGGGCAACGAGCCATTAGATTTTAATAGGTTTTGATTTTTATATATATACACACACAAAGAAGACTAGAAAAAGAAGAAATAGAGAATGGAGTGAGGATGATTCTGGAAATTTTCCTGGAAAGTGGAAAGAAAGAGAGAGCTTTCAAAATGGAGACTTTGAGAGAGAGGGGAAGAGAGAGAGAGAGAGGTACATCAGGCTCGGAAAAGGGTTTGCACTACATGAGCTGTGCAATCTGCTCATCGAGATTCCCATGGGTATTCGGGGCAACCAGATCTACACTCATCTTCTAGATTATATACGGGAAACGATTTCAATAAAGAACAATAGTGATGGTATAGACGTCCCCCGAACGCCCCGGGAGGAACGAGTCCCCCCGTTCCGTTCGATATTGGGCTCACTACAGTTCCGGACTCTAAAATTTGTCACGGTTCTAAATCTGAACCAAAGAGTCTAAATCCGGCAAATCGTTTTAAGAAAACAGATTTTGAAAGAAGTGCCAAACATGGACTGCTTTGCCAGATACAGAGTCCCCACCTAAATATTTTATTTTGGGGAAATTTAGGAAACCCTAACTCGTTTGCCTAAGGCCACGTGTCCGTCATCACCAAAGTTGCCTCGGCTCGGGAACTTGGGTACGATTGGGGAAGGTCACTTCGTGAGCACCCCCGCTCGCCCGATCAAAGATTGGCCTCTACTAACCATAATATCTATTTTTGAAAACATTATGCATTCTTATTCCGGTTATTAGCCTAGATTTACTAAGTGATGCGTACATCATACAAGTATAGATTGGATCGCCTGAATTGGAACAAAATATTTCATGTTTGTTTGTTTGAAAATGGTTTGATGGTGCTACTCGCAAGTAGGTTAAGACGTGGATTTGCCACCCTCAGGTGGGCTTAGAAAACATGATTTTGCCACTATCTAGTGGGCTTAAAACTCACAGTTTGATGATTTGTTCCAATCCAGGTAACCCAACCTTCACCCACAGGCATTCAGGCAGATATATCACATAAGCAATTAGCCTCATGGTAAGCATGCTATCATGGCAGTCACTCACACGCATGCAAGGATGCTAAAGCATAAAACTCACCGAGTACTCCAAGCCAAAACAGAGACTAATTAGAAATTCATGCATGATCCTAACTATACAGAAATGCCTAATGCAATACATGCAAAAATGCAACTATAGCAGGCTCGGCTATTCTAAACATGGCATATGAGATGCTACAGCTAGCATGTATTCAACTTGGAATTGAAAATACAATGCAGTTAGTATGATGCACCGAGCCCGGTGTATGCAAGACAGATGAATGATGCAAACATGCTGTCATACTGTATGCTAATTGAAACATGCCCTAATCTAACCATAATAAGCAGGTAAATAAAAGGGAAGAAAGACGTGGGGTTGGAAGACATACATCACACACACGCACATTTATTACAACATTGCCCTCGCGCAGAGGGTTCGAATAAATAATATGCAGTCCCGAATAATTACAGCTCAAATAATTACAAAAATCCTAATTAATTACCAAATTAACTAAGAAAACAATAAACTGGTATGCAAGCCAGGGACTGCCTTGACTCTTCTTCAGATGATGGATGATGCATGTCCGGGCTGCCTTGCGCGGAAATCCACTGGAATGCCCCAATTAGCCTATGTTTTACAATTATTCTTGGAAAGCGCACCAAGTTCCAAAAGGTTGCTAATTCTTGATTTGCTGCAACAGAGAGCAGGAAAGGGGCATAGCAATGTATTTTCACATATGTATGCATGTCTCGATCCTCGTGCCATCAATCATGCATCTCGATGCATGATGGCCGAGGGGTCGAATTGCACAACTCAATATGGAATGAATGCAGACATAAACACAACAAAACCTAAACTCCATCATGGATAATCCGGAGTATCGGTGACTGGGAATAATCCAGAGTGTCGGCGACAGGGAATTGAGACACATTCTGTCACTCGGAGTACGAAACGTCCCTCATTTCTCGTGCTCGGGCTAACTCCTATCCCAAACACAATGCAAATGAGATGGCATACACAATGCGACTAACATACAACCTAGCATACGCAACGCTATGAAATGGCATACACAATGATCAAAAAGAGAGAGCTTTCAAAATGGAGACTTTGAGAGAGAGGGGAAGAGAGAGAGAGAGAGGTACATCAGGCTCGGAAAAGGGTTTGCACTACATGAGCTGTGCAATCTGCTCATCGAGATTCCCATGGGTATTCGGGGCAACCAGATCTACACTCATCTTCTAGATTATATACGGGAAACGATTTCAATAAAGAACAATAGTGATGGTATAGACGTCCCCCGAACGCCCCGGGAGGAACGAGTCCCCCCGTTCCGTTCGATATTGGGCTCACTACAGTTCCGGACTCTAAAATTTGTCACGGTTCTAAATCTGAACCAAAGAGTCTAAATCCGGCAAATCGTTTTAAGAAAACAGATTTTGAAAGAAGTGCCAAACATGGACTGCTTTGCCAGATACAGAGTCGCCACCT